AAATCAAGTTTGGTGAAAATTGAAGACCACCAAATTTTACTATGAGAGTTACGGTATTGTAATAAATTTTGTTGATATCTTTTATCGAAGGGTAGGAAACAAAAATCCAACTTTTTTTCATATGTGGTTTTGAATCAGTTTTCAATAATCTTTTGAATAGTCAAAATTTACCTTACTGCAAAGATTCATAGAGTTTTATCTCTACTCCAGTCAAAGCCGCTGTTTTGGCCTCGAAACTTTAGTAATTTCAATCTCCTACACCGTTTGAGCTACAGAGCACAGATTTAGAGTAGGTTCATATTTCATGAATACCTTTTAGTTTTGAGACAAAAACCAAAATCGGTGACCAGATTCGAAAACTTTAGTCAATTAGGAAAAGAATTAATCATAAGTAGAAGAACAAGGGTAGTTACAAAGTAATATTTGTTGCTCAGTTACAAGTTTTTGTTATGAAGTCATGACAAAAAAGGCTTGTTTTCAAACAGCTATTTTGTACAGTGTGCGTTGTAGCAGTTGTAGTTTCATTCATCACTTGAATCAGTTACCAACCTGGTGATCGTTAAATAAATAAAAGCTCCTGTCAGCACATTTGGCAGCTGCAATGTAATGCCCCTCATCTAAACTTGTGCCACGGTGAACAACCATGGCAATAAATCTGTACTGCTGACCTGTGGGCAGCGCAAGGAGTGGAGCCACCTTCACATCTGTGTTGAGCTTTTTCCCAGGTTCAACAAATCTGAAATGTAAAAAAAAAAATATTAAAAAATCTCAAATTATTATGGTGAAAAGAGATAGCAACTAGTCTCTTGATAAGCTTTAGACCACATTTGGTTGATAAACTGTTTGAATTTGGCAAAATACTTTTAAAGCACTAACTTTACAAAAAAATTGGGATATGTTATATTATGTTTTGAAATGGTCAATATGTGAGTGTGGAGCTGCGAAAATTGTTTCCATAAATGCATAAACAGATTTTAATTACGTTTTACCTTGACATTTGACCAAAATATTAAACTTTCCACTAATATTTGGATGCCCCACTTGCCGGAAAGACAAACGGATTCCATCAAACCAAAATTGAGGACACTTTAAGATGTGACTCAAGAACAAATTTACAAATTAAGCAATTTTCTGCTTTGTGGAAACAATGCTGGTAGATTCACGCCCAAATATATGTCAATTTAAAGATAGATAGATAGACAGACAGATAGA